CTTTCTTTGTCGTTTTTCAATTCAATACAGACAATTTGGATTATGTGGTGGTGTTTGTCTATTTGAGTTGTGAGTATCACGAGCATTCCGCCCCGTTCCACTACATTCAAAATAACTGTTCTCATTTGAGAGTATCGTTTGTGATAGTGGGTGAATTCAATTCAATTCTAGCATCAAATGAAAAGGAAGGTGAAACCCAGGTGTCCTTCTCATTCACTTAATATTCACAAATTTGTGGATGATTTAGGCCTCCAAGACTTGGGTTTTATTGGATCTCCCTACACTTGATCAAATAGGATAATGAATCTGCCAATGCAGTTAAAAGCGTGATTTTACCTAGAAGCGGAAAATGGGTAAAATCGTAAAACGTAGAATCAAAGCGTAAAAGCGTAAGTTTTTGACGCACCCTCTAAAATAACTAAAATAGGTTAAGTACAACATATAGTATGTAAAATGTGAGTGTGTAGATTTTAGATAAGTGAATAACTACATGAAATTCATAATTAAAATGTAATATCTAACACATAAACTAATTTGTGTCGACTCAAAAGTAGAGAAAACTCATAACATCTTAATAATAAGCTCATAAATGTAGATCGTAACCCGTAAACGAGCTTGAGAATCCAAATTCTCATAAGCTGGTTTGACTTTACATGATTACATACGATCTATTACCCATAAACTTTTATCGTAACCCAGGTAAGAGCCACATGTGAAGATTAAGGAAGAAGACTGATAGAAGGTCAGCGACTATTGAGAATACCATTAGGTGTCTTTTCAACCTAATGTGAAGCCTCTATCTCGATACTAGTTGTAGAACGATTGATGAATCATGTTTTTATTTTTTTTATGTTTTGCTGATATGTCTCCAAAATTACATCATTTTGGACCATTAGCACATTTTTATGAGAGGATCAAAATCGTATAAAAACGCATTAGAATCGCGATTTTATCGATTTTAAGCGATTTTACCGATTTTACCCATGTTTTTACCAATTTTTGTGACTAAGCGATTTTAGGTAGAAACTGAAACGTTTTGGTGGCCTGGATACGTAAAAACGTAAGTTTTTACGTTTTAATGCGCGATTTTGACTGCACTGGAATCTGCAACAGGTGATTCAAGAACGGTTGGATTGATCCTTGGTTTTGAGTGGTTGGTTGGATCAGTTTCCCAATTTGGTACTACATCACCTTTCTGATAAAGAATCAGATCATAGAGACCTTTTGCTAGCCACTGAAGAAGTCCGACATCGTGGGAAAAAATTGTTTCATTTCGATGCACGTTGGGGTGACAACTCTGAAGTGAGGGACATTGTGCAGGAGTTGTGGAACATGACGTTCGAAGGTTAACTTTTGTTCCGGTTATGGTGTAAGCTTAAGAAACTAAGACATATGCTATATGACTGGATAAAATTAAGGAAATCTAACTCAGAACGAAAGATCTGAAACCTCCAAAAAGAGTGGGATACGATAATTGGGGCTACTGTCGTCGATTGGGACAAATTGCATGACCTGGATAGACACTTGAAAGAAGGTTGGGTTGACGAACAGATCTACTGGCAACAAAGGTCAAGGGTGAACTGGTTAAGGGAGGGGGACCAAAATTCTTCCTATTTTCATAACTTCACCAGAGCGCATAGTCATAACCATATCCATGGTATTTATAATACTGGGGGTTCCTGGGCCACGACGGCTGATGGTATGGCACAAGTTCCGTGTGACTTCTACGGGAAACTCTTTACCTCGAGAGGTTTAAATCCCTGGTCGGTATAGGAGAAGGTAGATTCGTTGGATATTGAGAGGAAAGTGACTGATTACATGAACGCCAAGTTAACGGCTGAAGTGTCCCCGGAGGAAATTTGACGTAGAATTTTTTTAAATTGGTGCTACCCAGGATCCAGGATCGGATGGCTTTACGGGTGTTTTCTTTCTTCAGTTTTGGGACATTTTGGGGCATGATGTAGTGGAGGCAGTTCACCACTTCTTCTCTACGAGTTCTCTCCTTAAGAATTGTAACCATACTTGGCTTGTCCTTATTCCGAAGGTTGACAAGGTAGAGCATATGAGGAATCTTCATCCTATTAGTCTTCGTTAATTTTCCTACAAAGTCATTGCCAAGATTTTGGCTGAACGGTTGGCTCGTTACCTCCCTTCTATTGTGTCCGCTAAGCAGAATGGATTTGTTCGTGAACGACAATTTGTTGATAATGTACTGATCGGGCACGAGGTTATGCAGTATCAGAAGAATAAGAGGGTTGCAAAACAGAGCTTCATGGCTTTCAAAGTGGACATGGAGAACGCATATGATCGTGGAATTATCATTTTTGTTTACATTGCTTGAGAAACTTGGTTTCAGTGCGTAATGGATTAAATGGCTACGGGCATGTGTGTCTTCTCCAATTTTCTCTGTTATGAGGAAAATCTAGTGGTGGATACTTGATAAAAAGCGTGTAAGTGTTAAAATAATCAGATCCATGTTTTTTTCTAAAGTTTTGGGCTACCCATTAGTGCCATGAATTCTTGATATGTCCATCGAGTTTCATTTTCCTTTTGAAGAATCATTTACAACCCAAAATTTAGAGTTGGGTGTACGTGGGTGTACATGGTAAAGGTAAAAGTCGATGGCTTCCTGGACCAATTTTAGGCTAATAGCAGAAGAGTCAAACAATAGTAGGCGATCGACTATGAAGGAAAAAAATTTCCTCTAGGCAAAGATATTTGTATGATGTGTTTTAGCATTTTCACTATGTTTTGTATATTGAGAAAACTCAAAACCAAGCTTAATGATATAGAAAATTTATGCTCAATATTTTACACTATCAAATGTCCTTATCCTCCTCTTATGCAACTGGGGATCCAGAATTTAGTAGAGCACTAGCCGCATTTGAATAAAAAATGAGATATTGTAAGCAAAAATATTTAATAATAACTATGGTTTTCATTATAATGTCAATTGTACAAGACAGTGTTTTAATTTAGCAAATTTATCAATAATGAAGTGTTAATCCATACTAGTAGCATATTCTCTCTCCAAGAAAATAGTTAAGCAATCGGCGAGAAATTCATCGCACATTTTATTGCACAAATAATTTTTCACATGTTACATTGCCGAAAAGGTTATCTCTGTAGTAACCGTTAAAACGGACAACATCAACACTAAACGAATCGACCGATAATAAGAAAACAATTTTGTTTTGCCTTTTTATTTGATGCTTGAAAATATGTCATTATAAATTATCTTCAAGTATGTACATTCAAGTATCGAATTTTCTGATTCTAATTCTAAATCATTAATCAAAAGAACAAACATATATGTTTCCTTTCTAAGACTTCGTGTCCTTCCACTTATGTTCTTGACCATTTCATCAATTCCCACTAAAATCAACATCATAAAGTTCGTTCCTTGCATCTCCCAATCCTTGAAATTAAACCACTTGACCATAACATTTATCGAAACAATAAACTAAAGAGCAGCTTGATTTGTTTGCTTCAAATACAAGTAGAAATGAGTGGGCTTCCAAACAAGAATTAACATACACAGCTAGGGATGGCAATGGGTCGGGTTTGTCTAAATCATCCCCATCCCCATCTTCAAATATCCAAACCCATACCCGCCTCATACCCATGTTGGGGAATGTTTTACAAACCCATCGCCATACCCGTGGGTTTCGGGTACCCATGGGTAATACCCGTACCCGTACATCCAGCATTACTATATCTAAAACTTACAAGAATTTTTTTAATTACAACTCTAAACAAACCTATTATATCATGAAGTCAACAAAACACAATCATTTTCTTAATACGGGTCAAAGTATATGATCCTAAAACATCCATTAATACATAATATAGAGTATAATATTTTTCAAATTATTATCTTCTGATTCTGATACATCTACTAAGTAATAGTTAACTAGCATAATCTTCTTGACAAGAGGGAAAGTGAAAGAGTGAAAGTAGAATTGAGGGAAATTAATTAGATTTTGATTAAAGTGGTCACTCAATTGCATTTCTACTATTTATTTCCTCGAGTTATCCTCATCACCATTGATAGATTACAATTTAATCCACGTATTTTTTATATGTGAAGAAATTCTCTTTGTGGGGCGGGTATGGGTATGGGTATGGGGCGGGGGAGGCCAAAACAATACCCGCCACATACCCATTAAACTTTTTGCGGGTTTTACCCATACCCGCCCCATATCCGGTCAAAGCGGAGATTCCCCGCGTTGACTGGATCGTGGGCGATCGGATACCCGCGGTCATGGATTTGATTGCCATCCCTAGACACAGCTAAAGCAACTCTTGCTTTTTATCTCAAGTAAATGATGAAGACAATTCAACTTTCCTTTTGTTTCAAAAGCCCACTAATGGAAACACTTTACCCAATGATCAAGTTTTTTCAATAAACAAAAACTACCTAACTCTATTTCCAATATACATCCTTTTAAATTAAACAACAAAGATATGAAGAGCTGGACCAACCTGATTATCACAGGGTAAAAAGAGCAGAAGGGGGCTCTTTACAAGCGCTAGACCCTAAAGAGGGTTGTGCCCGGGCCAGGTTGGCCTCCCATGGTTGGTCACTGAGATTACAAAAAACGTTCACGTTTGGTCACTCGAAATATTTAAATTCGTTGGTGGTACTTCAGTTTACTTAAACTGTTCACGTTTGGTCACTCTCCGTCCAAGTCCGTTAACTTTGGCTGATGTGGCAGTCAACACTCAAAGTTGACCGTTAACTTAGTGACGTGGCAATTAAAAAATAATAAATAAAATAAACTTTAATTTATTTTAATGTCCAACTCATTTTTATCCTAAAATAAATTAATAAAATATTATAATATTTTTTATTTTATTTATTTAAAAGATCCGGATCTGATTCACGACCCGGCAGCGAGATCTAGTCTCCCACCTCGACCTCTCCACAACCTTAATCTTCACCGCCGTTTACAACATCCTCACCGGCCTCCTCTTCTGCGTCCCCATGCCCGACGCCCATGAAATCCATCGCCGCCGTTGCCGTCTCCGAGACCCCTCACCCCTTCCCAGATAGCCACCGTCGGGTTCTCCACCGCCACCACTCTTTTCATCCTGGGATCCACCAGCCTCAGGTCCTTGCTCTACTGCTACATCTCTCTCCCCGACGTCAGCGACGTCCAGCTCTCTCAGGGCCTCTCCTTCGCCGTCTCCGTCGTCAAGTACATCCAGTTCAATCAAGATTTTGTTGCCTCCAAACCTACCACAGCCAGGTCTTGGCACGACCTCGACGACCTCATCCTCGCCCTCTCTGCCCTCCTCTTCCTCGTCTTCACCACCGGCTCCTGCTCTGACGACGGCTGCGGCTCCAGCACTTCCAGCGATGAGACCAAATGTCACCGCCGGGTCGCGAATCAGATCCGGATCCTCTCCTCGATCCCCGCCGCGCTGATCATCTTCATAATCAGATTAGTCCTCTGCTTCATCCATGGGAGTGATGAACTTCGTCAGGTGCTGGTTCGGAGCCATGCCGATGTGCCACGGCGCCGGCGGGCTGGCAAGGCAGTACAGGTTCAGAGCGAGGAGCGGGCTGTCGGTGGTGATTCTCGGATTGGGGAAATTGGTGATTGGGCTGGTGTTCGGGACTGAATCAGTTCCAGATCGGGATTCTGGGGGTGCTTCTTCTGTTTGTCGGGATCGAGCTGGTGATGGCGTCTAGGGACATGAAGAGGATTCGTTGGTGATGCTGGTTTGTGCGGCAATTTCTTTGACTGGGTCCAGCACTGCTTTGTACATTAAAATATATTTTATTTTATTTATTATTTCTTAATTGCCACGTCACTAAGTTAACGGTCAATTTTGAAAGTTGACTGCCACATCAGCCAAAATTAACGGAGTTGGACGGAGAGTGACCAAACGTGAACGGTTTCAGTAAACTGAAGTACCACCAATGGATTTAAATATTTCGAGTGACCAAACTTGAACCATTTTTGTAATCTCAGTGACCAACTATGCAATTAACCCTCCATTATTATATATTATATTCCTCAACAAAATTAGGGTTGGCTATTTGGTCCGGGCTATTTGATTTTACCCGAAACCGAACCGGGACCGGACTGGAATCGGATAGCAAACAATCCAATCTCATCTTCCGGCTTAGATTTGAGGTTAAAAAACCTTTTGGGACTAGATGGAAAACCTGATAAGAGAGCCCAACACGAGGCTTCAGGCCACTCAAATCCCACAATCTCAATCTCAAATCAAGACCAAATTGGGACCAGACCGAATCAAGACCGGACTGTATCCAATCCAATCTTTGGTCCTTATATTCTTGAAAAGACCGAACTGAGACCAGATCAATTTGGGCCAATTTAACCGGACCGGACCGTATAACCACCCCTAGACAAAATTCTTCCCTCCAATGGGTCGGGTATAGTGCTAGTATGGAATGATAGTATTGTAACACTTAGAGGTCGTTTGGTTTTAGTGATTGTTTGGTTGAGATAGTTACAATGCATGTATTGTCCACGAAGCATTGTTATTTTGAATTATTCGCACAAACAATACATGCATTGTTTGCTTGATTTGAAGGAAACTATCACTCGAAATGAGTGATAGTACTATCTCCACTAAAACTTGAGATTGTTGAGATAGTTTTAAGGAGATTGTTGGGTTCCTTTTTTGTTCCAAGTATACCCTTAGTTATATATATATATGTTCTCATTAAAGCAAAGGCAAAAGTGATTTTTCTCACAAAAAGTAATATAACAAGGATTGAAATACTGTACTGGAGCTTGTACCGAAAAAGTCAGCGGTGTGGTTGACTCACTCCTACTGCCACTCTAGAAAATGGCCAAGTGCAACCACTTCCTAAAGCGTAGTATAGCGGGTTTGGGTTTTATTGTCAACCCGGGTCCTAGATGTGATGACTACTCGGTGAATTCTTGTTATTTAGCGGTGAACTTTTAGTGCAACTCAAGCAAACAAAACACAAAGCAAATAAACGGTTGTTGTCAAGTCAAGAGAGGTCACCCGGATATGGATCCCCCTAGACTGCAGTTAAGTCGGATTGCAATTTACCAAGTTCAGTTTTCATGAAAATTATACTGCGGAAGGTTCTCAATTAGCCTGGAGTCTCGACTAAAGGTCTCCAGACCCTCTCAATCTGAGTCTCTAGCGGGCGACTAACCTCCACCGGAGTAAACAGATTGAGGCCCTAACGAACCAAACCTCCACTACCGAATTGAATTCGGTACAGAATAGCGAATTGGCTCCTCGACTAAAGTCACCAATTCGCCACCTTCGATTAAGGATACTCTATCAACCTAGGCAGATATTCTCATTCCAGGTCAAAGCAGAAACAACAGGAATTTGATCAGGATTCAAGTCATTCAATCATTCAAACCTCAATCGAATATAATCAATTCACAAACTCTGTACTTGGGTTCATACAATCAGACCTAGCATACAAATCTAGGGTTCCCCATACCCAGATGAATGGGGAAACTACTACATAGAGAAAGAAGCAAAAGCATATTCAGACGCGGAAATCATACTGTGAAGATGGATTCCTGCTCCTAGACGTTTAATCGCACTTCTCCAAGCTCAAACCGGGCTCCAATGGTGTTGAAGATCGATCTATGGCGCTTGGGAACTCTGGTTCGTGGCCTTCTCTCTCTAGGTATCGCTTTCTCCCTCAAAAACTCGGAACCCCCTGAAAATTGGCCTTCTTCCTCTTTTATCAGCTGCCATCGCGATACCCGGTCGAAATACCCGGTCGGGTATTTAAGGGTTCGACCGGGTATTGTCCAAACGCGCCGTTTCACTAAAGGGGAAAATCCCCGGTCTGACCTCATAATCCCCGACCGGGGATTTAAGGCGTTTGCCCGGGCCCCCCCTCTGTTACTCACGGGTGCCGAAAACGATAAATACCCGGTCGGGTATTTTGCCATCCGACCAGGTATTTTCCTCCTGCAGCCCCCTTAGTCCCAACTCGGCTCCTTTCGACCCAGAACTCGTTTCTCCGCCTCGATTCCAATGCCGGGACCTGAAATATGACACAAACACACAACCTAGCGTAAAATCGGCTTAAAACACGAGATTCCTCATCACAAACGGCTCCAGAATAGGGGTGAAAATATGTGTAATTAACGATCTATCAAACTCCCCCACACTTAACTGTTTGCTTGTCCCTAAGCAAACCTAACTCAAACCAATGCAACTCTCCAGACCTCTATAGCAACAAACAACCTCGATCGTAGGTAGAGGACTTCCTAGATCATTTAGCAACTTACGAGGTCAACCGACGCACAAGTCATCTCATAACTTCCTCGGCGAGAACGCTAGTCTCGAATAGGCATCATGGCAAATAGTGAACAGGGGACAAATGAATCGTGGATGAAGAGACTCTCACAAACAAAAGATCATGGACTCACATTAATTCAAGGTGCTCGATTTCCTTTGTGAACATGGTTGGAACCCTTTTCTTTCTTCTTTTTGCTTGTTTTTCTGTTTTTCTCTTTTTTTCACAGGTTCCAACCTGTTTCTGCAGAAAACGGGGGCTCTTACCAGCCATGCCAGGAGCGGGTGTCTCGAGCCTCGTGCGGGGGAAAGACATGTAAGGGGGCTGGAGGTAGTAGGTGGAAATTGGGAACGAATTCCCGTCTCCCCTTACACACTTTCGCCCTATTCGCACGGGAGACGTTATTTTGAAGCAAATTTTCGAGCACCTGTTATTTTCAAAACATGATACAAGAGTCCATGACAGGCAGAGAGTCCACAACACCACACAATTCAAGGATCCTAAGATCACTAATTCACTCAATCAGCCAACACAATATGAAGAAGAAATGAGACTTCTTAAATGCATCAACATCCTCCATAGTGCTACACTACCTCCCTAGGTTGCAAATCACTACAGGGACTGTCAATTCAAAGCATACTGAGCAGGCAATTGCAAGGAACACATACTTGGAGCCCTCAAATTTTAAAAATTTGGACAATGGACTAGGCTCCAAGCACACAAACAGAGCTAATGCAGTCAAAAGATAAACATCCCCCCACACTTAAGATCGACATTGCCCTCAATGGAGAAGAGGGAAGGAAAGGAGAACGATGTTACCGGTGTGCACAGACTGCAGGAGACTGGAAATGGACCAGTCGGCAACACAGGCAGAGCTAAAAGAGACCAAAAAGCTCAAACACATACGTTAGGTCCAACGGTCAGCCCAATAGTACAGTATCCAATAATGAAAAGAAAAAGAAACAAAAACCGACACAAAACAGACGGTTTGCATGCTGACACAGATAAAAACTCTCAAAACATGCCCCTAGGGCCCTCCAAGACCGGAGAAATCAATCTGATCCATTAGGTCGTCGACGCCATCATCCGGTGGCTGCCGTGGCGGTGAATGCTCCCACCGGGTGGTCCAGTGGTGCTCCTCTGGAGGGTGACAAGCCTGGAGCAGATGCTCGAAATACTCCATCAGACGGCGGCCTCGGTCTCTCTCCCGCTCGATGAGAGCAGTAGTGACTCCCATGTGGGTCTCCAATCGGCCAAGGCGCTCATCAACGCCCGTCATCCTGGACCGGTGCTCGGCCTGGTGGGCCGAGTACTGCTGGTAAAACTGGACCTGATGGTCCATGAGCTGCTGGTTCTGAAGATCGAGCTGCTGGAACTGGAGCCCCATCTGCTGGAACTGCTCCGTGAAGAAGTCCATCGACGGACCAGAAGGACCAGAGGAGGACTCACCTCGCACTGGTCTCCGTCGAGGCTGAAGATCCCCAAGGGGGGAGAGCGAGGGCTCCGGCTCATCGGCATCCATAGCGCCGTCATCATCATCATCAGCATCCTCATCTACCTCCTCCTCGTCCGAGTAGTCCGCATCCTCCTCGTCCGAGTCTAGATCAATCACCCCCGCGGGGGGCATAGAGAGCCCATCCACCTAGGTGCGGATGTCATCAGTGGCCAGGAGACGCGCGTTGTGAAGCACGTCCCGACTGAGGGGTGCGGAGCCGCCCAGCACGGTCGCATTGTGAAGCCCCTGAAAGCTGATGTCGAAATGCTTCGCCAACCGTGTGATCAGGGGACCACAGAAGAGGTGAGTGGGATGCCCCCGGATCCGGAAGAAGGTGAGGGCCACGAAGGATCCCAGGTGAGCATGTGCGCCGGCTCCCCCATCGAGTACATGGCATACAACACCCGCTTCGGGATCTTATGCGAACCGGTGGCGTTGGGGACGATGGATCGGGTGATCAGCAAGTTCAGGATGTGCCACTGCGGCTTGAGGGTGCTGACGGAGGTCTGGCCAGCATCGAAGTAGTCGTAGCCATGGGCGCGCCTGGCTATCCTGCG